AAGGGTCGAGAAGCCCCTGACACTATGACCTTCTCCATCCCGAAGGCCAAATGGAAGTGTTTGGAGAATTATGAAAGCTTCCCGGTCAGGAAGTGACCTTATGAAAGGACCTTCTAAAGCTTAGCCTCAGACTGCAGCCTGCTTGATGTTGACTAACTCAGTGCTAAGCTGGCTCTCTGCTAGGAGAGAGGAAACTTCCTCAGTGGTGTCATTCAGCCCCCTCAGCCTGATCTGAATGGGAGTATTATGGAGGAGGCCCTTGAAAGACACAGCGCTGTGCTGTGTGCAAACCTTCCATTCATTTGCCCAACAGCTCAGTCTTGTGTCTCATCATGTGAATGTTGTTCCCATCCCTAGGGGCTGTTCCAGATGCCGTGGTGACCCAAATTTAGCCTCATAGACCCGTGTGGTGGGTCCTCAGTCTTCTCAATTTGTCTTTTCTTTCCACAAGGTGACTAGGACCTTCTCCACAACTATGACCTTCTCTTCATGTCCCTTCCATGTTGTATTGCTCAAGATCTCACGAAGCTGGCTATCATGTCCACTAAGCACATTAACCCAGTTACTTTCACACACAGGAAACAAAAGGGAGCTTCCATGGCTTCTCTCCAGGGTATCAAGGTTTCCGGCAGCAACATCTAGAACTGTTCAGATCTCCATGAGGACACCACATTGGTGGGGCAGGGTGGACTAAGCTTGACCTGGAGGCCAAGGCCCTATTTACAGCTTCAGTAAACCATTTATATGTTATCTGAATACACACAGAGAAAGAGAGGGAGAGAGAGACAGGGAAAGACAGAGAGGGGGGTTTATATACATCTGAACTCCACACGTGAGAGAAAACATAATATTTCTCTTTTTGAGTCTATTTCCCCAGCTAATATAATGGTCTTCAGTTGCATCCATTTTTCTAGCAAACAGCATAACTTTTCGGAGATTTATTTCTTTAATTCTTGTGTATGAGTGTTTTTCCTGGATGTCTGTGCACATCTGGTGCCCACAGATGTCAGAAATGGGTCTTTGGTCCCCTAGTACTGGGGTTACAATTGTCATGTGTCACCATGTCGGTGCTGGGAACTGAACCAGGGTCCTCTGCAAGAGCCGCAAGTGCTGCTGATTCTCAGCCTCCCAAATCTTTTGTTGCAAACAACACAATTTTGTTCTTTATGGCTAAACAAAATTCCTGTGTGTGTGCGTGTGTGTGTGTGTGTGTGTGTGTGTGTGTATGTGTATGTGTGTATAATATATGTCCTTTGTTCATGCACCTCTTGATGGACACCTAGGCTGACTCCATGACTTAGGTATGGTATGTATGCCCATGCAGGTGTCTCTAAGGTGTGTTGACTTACAGTCCTTCGGGTCTATACCTTGGAGTAGTATAACTGAGTGATTTGTATGGTTATTCTATTTTTTAGTTTGTTTTCTTAAGGAATTTTCATAATGACTGGACCAATTTGCATTCCCATGAGTAGTAAATGAGAGTAAGGGAGTGTGGGAGCCTGAATGTTCTTATAAGTCAAGCAGTATTGTAGTGGGATTTTAGTCCAGCAACATGGCTGCTCTGGCAAGGGATCACATCCAAAGACCTTCTAGGTCTGTGTGATCTGTCTGGAATACAGAGACGCCCTTAGTATATACCTTTAATCCCTCGGGCTGGAATAAACAATGACATCTAATTGAGAGACACAGTGACAAGTCAGAGAAAGATTTAACAGAATGGGTCAGAGATAGGATATATCCAACTCTCACAAGAACAGACAGAAAAGAGAAGCTATTTAAGAGCAGCAGAGTAGAGCTGAGCACAGTAGAGTGGGGTACCGCAGAGAAAGAGTGGAGAAGACAATTCAGTAGAGTTGAATATAAGAGAGTAGAGAATTCAGTAGAGAAGTCAGTACAGTAGAGTTTAGCTGATTTGAGGTCAATCAGTTGGCAGGCAGTTCAGAGTCAGTTGAGAATGAAACAGCAGATCCGTTTGTGGTAGTTCAGATCAATTCAGTCAGTTGAGTTGAATGGCGTTGAGTTGTGGGCAGTTGAGTTGAATGAGCGCTGTGCAGTGAAGTTGAGAGCATGAGTGAGTGAATGCAGAGGCTGTTGAAGCCAGAGAATAAGAAGGAACCAGGAGATTAGAACAAGTTGCCAGAGTTAATTTGAGGCCAAGCAGAGCAATTCAGCGAAAAGCCAAGAGATGCCAGATTGTACCAGTCAGCGTGGAGAGGAGTTTGAGCCAGAACAAGTGAGTTGAACCAGTGAGCCAGAGTTCAGAAACAGCTAGAAAGGGTGAGCTTATTCAGCAGTAAGCCTCCTAGACAACAATTACATCAGGTGAATAAAAGATACTGTTGCAATTCATACTAAAGATGGTGAGCTTTTATTACCTTTATAAAAAATGGGAACAGAATTCATGTAGCCCGGGCTCTCCTCAAGCTTTCTATGTAGTCAGCAGGTCCTTAAACTGAGCTCCTGACTCTACCTCCTACGTGCTGGGATTGCAGGCGTGTACCACTAAGCCTTGCTGAAGATGATAATTTAAACATGCTAAAATTTTGGATGCATTTGAATCAAGGCATAGTGGTTTAGATTCTAAACCTTACAATCTTAAGAAAGTGAAGCTGACATTCGAAATCTGTTTATTATCATTTGTGTGTGTATCAATTGTGTGTGTGTGTGTGTGTGTGTGTGTGTATGGGCAGGTGTGTGTGCCTTGGCACATGTATGGTGGTCAGAGGACAAGTTTCAGGAGTCGGTTCTTCCACTGTAGGTTTCAGGGTTGAGCTCATGTCATCGGGAGTTCACAGATAGTTCCTTCATCCACTGAGCCATGTTGCTAGCCCAGAGCTGACTCACAGGACCTGTGAGCACCCTAGATAGGGCAGACGTATGAGAGACAGTAGACTGAGGTGGCTAGATTTTCGCCTGAGTAGCTGGGTGAATAAAGCATTGGGGAGGGGAGGATCCTTTTCAGAGGCTGGGACTGGGTGTGGAAATGACTTCTAGAAAAACTCTTTTGGAGAAACAGATGAACAAACAACAAGACAGCCCCCAACTTCATATTTAAATTAAGTGTAGGAGTGAGTTTACAATCCTCTTATAATTAAAAAAAAAATGTCATTCTTGAAAGCTTGTTAATCTATTCGGTTATTTTGGACACTGTTCACACCACTGATATTCTTACTTCTAAAATTAACGCAATGTAAATGAGGAAACAGAAATGAGAGAGAGGGACACATGGAGTCGACCAGGGAGAAAGGATGCCTTGATTTGGAAAAGCAGTTAAACTTGCTGTTGTTACCCTGTGCTGACATTCTTTGGACTGTTACTGACATGGAGGTTTTGTTTTTCTGTGTGCTGCATCCTGACAGACACAGCTTCTGCGAGGGAAGGTTTATTTCTGCTCCCAGTTTAGAGAAGTCTGTCATGGAAGGTGATAATTTTAAGTGTGATACAATTCTGGATGCATTTGAATCAAGGCATAGTGGTTTAGATTTTAAACCTTACAGTGTTAAGAAAGTGAAGCTGAGATTTGAAATTCGTGTATTATCATTTGCTTGTGTGTATCAATTGTGCGTGTGTATGATGTGTGTATGTTTGAGTATGGGCAGGAACAGCTTAGTTTGTAGTGTAGAAACCTGTGACATGGCTTGTTCACGTCCTGGGGTTGGGTGGGGGGCGGTGAGAAAGCTTAAAGCTCAAAGCTCAGGCTGGAGCCAGGTAAAACCTCCCTCCAGCACCTTCCCCAAATGGTCCACTTCAGCTAGCTGCGCTGCACCACTATCCCGAAGGTTCCAAACTCTCCCAAAGGAGGGCTCACAGCTGAGGACCAGCTCATCAGACATTAGCCCACGGCGTGTTTCTCTTTCAGGCCATCACAAGACCTAATGACATTTTCTAGGGTACCAGTGCAGGCTCCCGGCATGAGCAGCTGCTCACGAGGCAACTCTTCAATTCAAAATCCACGGAAGACTTTTTAATCAATGTGATTCCAGCATCCAAGCACTCTCTTGTACGTGGATTTTAATATCTGATTAAAAGCCCCCACACGCACACATCTCCACACAGATACACATTATGCGTATGCACGCACGGAATTTAAAACAAAAATAAATATTTTTAAAGTGCAATGATAATAACATGTGCACATGTGATCAGGGGAATCACTTCTATGTTTACCAGTCGAATTACTCTTGTGTTTAAAGGACTTAAAGCGTGTACAACAGTCGTGAATCTCTCTGCTCTCTTCCTTTGTTTAAAAAACAAAACAAAACAAAACAAAACAAAAAACCTTGATGCTTCTGGACCTGAGAGATAGAGTGTCAGTGCCGTTTGAAAGTCCAGAATCGGTGTGTTAATCACTCTCGGTGTGGCCTGACTTCAGGGTTATTGAGCTAACAGACCGGAAGCTAACCAGCAAGCGCGTGGAGATTCGCCTAAACACGTGCAATCAAGAGCACGCTCGTGGAATGGCCAAAGACTGAATTTTATTAAAAATCATTTCCATATTGTATTGATAAATGTGGTTTTTAAAAGGCCAACTAAGTTCACACGGAGACCAGTTCCTTGCAAACCTTACTTTAGGACCGACTACCTGTGCTGCTTTTGTTTCTGTAGATGGGCGCATTGCTTTTCTCGTCAAAGGGAAATAGGAGAAAAGATTGCCTGTAAACTATGTTTCCTGGGAGAAATGGTGGGGCAGAAATACCATGCGGTGATTAAAGCAAGACCAGGAAGATCCGAATCCTGTCTGATATGCACATTTTTAGACTGGAGGGAAAATACGCGAAAACAAAGCTCAGCGTCTGAGGCCTGGGTATTCCGCAGCCTCGCAGTCAGAGCCGTTTGCAACAGCAGCCTGGCCTCCGTGCGAGAGGAAGACACCGGCGTTGGGAGAGGGACTCTGCAGCAGAGGGACTCAGCAGAGGGATTTAGCTGGCTTCTAGCAGAGTGAGCGCTGTCGCACGTTGCGCCCCCGCCCCTCCCCTCCGGGGTCAGGCGTGCGGAAGCACTCAGCTGACACTTGTCTGCTTTTCCGTCTCGTCGGAGCTGTTCCGCAGCCTCAGCTTTGTTTCCAGCCTCTGCTTCCATTCTTCTCTGAGTCTGGAAATAGAAAGAGGCACAGCTGAGGCCCTCCCCTCTGAGGCTGTGGCTCTGGGAAGCGTCCTCCCGTTTCCTGCCCGACATGGTTCCTCAGGTCTTAGGAGGGCGCGCAGGGGACTATTTATTTACCTGAGTGAAAAGGAACAGACTCACTTTCTGATATGGGGGTTTTCCGTGTGTACGTATGTGTATGCATGTGTGTCGGGTGCATGCAGAGGCCAGAAATCAATGCGAGGTGTCTTCCTTTGACATTCTACACCTTATTTTGAAGTTCAATTGTTTTACATGTGTGAATGTTTTGTCTGCATGCATGTCTGTGCATCGTGCGCATGCCTGGTGTCCTCAGAGACCAGAAGAGAGAACTGGATCCCTTGGACCTGGAATTACAGATGGCTGTGAGCCACGTGGATGCTGGGAATTGAATGTGCTTGCCTGCAGGCGTGTGTGCGTTGTGTGTGTGTGTGTGTGTGTGTGTGTGTGTGTGGTATGTGTGTGTGTGGTGTGTGTGTGTGTGTGGTGTGTGTGTGTGTTGTGTGGTGTGTGTGTGGTATGTGTGTGTGTGTGGTGTGTGTGTGTGGTGTGTGTGTGTGGTATGTGTGTGTGTGGTGTGTGGTGTGTGTGTGTGTGGTGTGTGTGTATGTGTGTGTGTGTCTGTGTAGGTACTCAAGGAGGCCAATGGCGTTGGATCCCCTGGAGCTGAAGTTACAGGTGGTTGTGAATCCCCACATGGCAGCTAGCAACAATTCCAGTTCCGGAAGTTCCCCCACCCTCTCCTGGCCTCCAGGCAGGACCTCCGTCCAGTCCACGTAAGGCAGAAGAACACAGCTCATTGCAAACACGCTAAGCCGGCCCGCGGCAGCGTACTTTCGCAGCGCGCTCCTTCCCAGCCGATGCTCCTCCGACTGGCGGTAGCGCGTCTGCTTGCCGATCTCCCTCTCCCAGAAGCGCTTGAGCTCGTGGCAGGTGTTGCCGCAGAAGACCTCCCGGCGGACGTACTGACTGTTCATGCCCTGGAACAGGAGAGAGGCGCTGAGCCCCCGAGCGTGAGCCCTTGGGTTCTGCAGGGTACAGGGCCCGTGTGAAGCCTGCTGTTTCCTTACCGCCGGCCTCAGGACTGGAGTCACAGGGCGACCCTGGTCAGGGTAGAGTAACACTGGAGTGTACCTGTGAGCTCGGGCCTGGGGGAAAGCTCTGTCACTCGTCCTTACTGATAGGAGAGCCACTCCTTAGCAGTGAGCACAGGCCGGGAGCTGTGGCTTTGGGACGCCCACCTGAGCTCCGCATTATTTCTCACTGAGCCGTGACAAAAACCACCTGTGCTGTCGGGAGTGATAGCCTGTGAGGACCCGCTTCATAGTTCTGAAAGATGGCAACGGATGCTCTCAGGCCTGACACATCCAACAGCAAGCTGTTTTCAGGCTGTTTGCACACACATGGGCATATAGGAAATTCTAGTGCTAGATGGCCCCAATGCTCTCCTTCCTTCCTTCCTTCCTTCCTTCCTTCCTTCCTTCCTTCCTTCC